ACGGCGGGTGCCTAAGGTAGGTTTGACTTTAAACTACGGGTATGATATAGTTACAGAGAGGGGTGTCTTCACTCTCAAAAATCCCAGGTAGTTACATATTTATAGACAATGTAGATAGTTTGTAGTTATAGAGAGGTGATGACCTCGTATCATACACCATCCTAAATGATATGTAAGATTTTAACAATACCGTTACAGGAGTATAACTATTTCCTTAAAATGGAACAGATTGTATAGGTTTAACTTAAATTTGATATGTAAATTACTTCTACATTGCAACAGTTAAAATGGAAGTCAAAAGTGCATACATGTAAATTGAGACATACACATTCAAGTTTGCCGCTTCCTATTTTCAATATCAACAGTATTACTACAGTATACTACAATACTTTTCTGGTACTTGCAATGACGAAAATTCAAGGTTATAGCGATATAGTTCATTTTCACGAGTGTCAGGCCTTAAACACCACGATTAGGTTACACGTCTCATATGTAGTTGTGTTGTTTTTTGATCCGCATTGTTTGATAAAATACAGTTGTGAGATCGCAGAGCGTTACACGATGTGCGATGATGCTCACACGAAGTGTTCACGGTCTGTGCACGGTCTGTGCAACGATGTTTGCACGATGTGCGAACGATAGACGACGTTGTGCGATAACAATCGTGGTTGGTGTAAATTTAGGATTGGCTTGATAAAAGATACGGTTTCCTGTTTAAACATATAAACTTGATTTGTAAGTTCGTTTCTATATTCTAGCTACATCTATATGAATTATTATGATTGTATCATTAAATCATATGGACCATACGAAAATCGTCAAGGGAAACAAAATCCACTAGACAGGCACCTTTATGTTATGACGTTACAATTTAAATATTTATCTGATATTAAACAAATAAATAAAACAGGAGTCAACATTAGAAATCAATTACATTTGCGTCATAATGATTCAACCATTAAGGAAATAAGGGAACATGATACCATGTAATAGATAATTCCATGCCGACTTTTTTTCTCTTGTATATCAAGACGACGACTTTGGAAAGGTATCAACTATCTTTTTATATATATTTATGTTGAAAACGGGAATGTACATGTCCAGTGTGATATGCTATTATAGAAAGGATGATTCTAAAACATACATGTATGATATTGTGGAAGGATTCAATTTTGTTGATATTTTTAATTCCATAATGATGACTATTTCGTATTATTTATTTATCTATTTTCATGCATATGCAAACGAGTCATAATGCAATAAACATAAATAAATGTTTATTTACGAAAACTGTCCTAATAAAGCAAGTATATCATGATTTTGAATGGACGAAAAATTGTCAACGCATACCTGAAGATTTGATGACAGCATGATAACCCTCTTCTGAGGAGGACACGAGACATAGAGGACTCCGGTCGCAGACACTGCCAAACTATCCACACAACCACGTGTATCAAACTTGTACACTCTCTCGTGTCTATTGTTGTACAAGGAAACCCAGGAACACTGAATGAAGGCCACCCACATGTACCCTCCTTGTGTTGTCACCAACCTTTTAACATGTCCACACGATCTTTCACGTGGACATGACAGCTCCACCCGGGCGTCTACTTTGATTGAAAGTTTTTGAGATGTTCCGTCAGAGCTGTCTTTATCGCGTTTAGTTATTTTTCGCCACAGCTTGGTGGGCTTGGTTTTGATATTTTCAAAGCTTGATGATGCTCCCATATTAGGTGGATCATGTTTTGTTGTACTAGATCTGACCTTTTTGGTCCTCCTGTTGATATTGTCTATGCTTGAGGATTTTTTCATGTCATGATTATTACTTTTGACTGCAATCCATTCATTAGTGATATCTTGACCTACCATGTTGTCTTCAAAATCCAAGGATACATAGATATCGCTATCGCTCAATGATCGCTGAGAGTAAAACCTAGGACGATGAATGTTCGATTCTTCCAGAGTTTCGGTTGAACTTTTCTGAAGCTGTTGTATTTGGTTCACTTCTTGTTCCAGTTCTCTGATCTTTTTTAAATACAAGTCTTGTTGTCTAGATGTAGGCATGTCCCAAATATCATCTTTTTCACCAGATTCAGTATCACAATCCTGAATGTTTTTAGATGTGACTGGTGGATTTACATCTTCTAAATGATAATTACTGTTTTCCCGGAAATAGCTTTTCAAAAACGTACTGGAACTTTTAGAAATCGCCGAGTCCGACTGATTCTCAATTGCGTTAGGCTTCGCCGACTGTGACGGTGTATTCGAGAGATGCGTGGTGGATTTCGTAGTAGCTATCACTACAACACTATCACTTTGACTTTGAAGTTTTTCTTCCGGCAGTGTTGGTATATCGACATTATTAGCAGATTGTACAGGATCAATACCTCTGCTACATGTATACAAATCAGGCGTATACAACATGGGTCTTGTTTCTGTGTTTTCAAATTCCATGGAATTATTAATATCACTTTCGCTCACAGATCGTTGAGAGGACAACTTAGGATGATGAATGCTTAGTAGTCCTGGTTATTTGGTTGTACTTGTATCTCTCTGAAGCTGTTGTATTTGGTTCACTTCTTGTTCTCTGAGCATTTTTAAATACAAGTCTTGTTGTCTAAGTTTAGGCGTGCCCCAAATATTGTCCTGTTCTTCAGATTTGGTGTCACTATACTGAATGGTTTCCATTGAGTTAATTGGATTCGTATCATCTAATGAATAGATACTGTTAGCTCGGAAGTAGCCATTCAAAAACGCACAGGACCTTATAGAACTTGCCGAGTCCGACTGATTCTCCATCGCGTTAAGTTTCGACGACTGTGACGGTGTATGCATGAGATGCGTTATGGATTCCGTAGAATCTATCACTTCAAAACTATCACTTTGTCTGTTTTGTCTTTCTCCCAGCAGAGTTGGTAAATCGACACTGTTTGCGGGTTGTACGGCATCAATACCTCTGCTACATGTACTAAAATCAGGCGTATAAAACATGGGTCTTGTTTCTGTGTTCAGATCAGAAGATTGCTGGAACAACTCGCCATTAAAATACTTGTTAAGGCTGTCGGACATGTTTGTTTTTAATCCAGAGTGAAACTTATGGTGTGTTTCGTCGGTTTTAGAATTGCCACATAGGTTTAAAAGGGTACATTCGGGAATGTTGTTATCGAATGCATTTCCAGTGCAGACATCCCAGCTTGCTGCTAATTTATTTGTGTCTTCATTGTCGTTTGGAAAGGTCATTAAGTTCACGATTTTTGGCAGTCTATATGGAATAGAAACACAGAAAATGAATGAGCAACATACTACATCAATTATGTCTACAGAATATGTTTATCGCAGTTTAAATCATATCCAAATCCTCAATTAAATATAAGAATTCATATGCATAATTCGGAAACGAGACCTTGCATTTTTTATTATTATGTGTGTTTTAAGCATACGTTAATAAAGATCATCATTTTTATGAACAAAATGTAAACGTTATAAAATGTATATCATTTTTT